CGCTGCATGGGGTTATTGCGACCTAAGTGCAAGAATTTTTTTCTAGAAAATAGAAAAATTTGCATTTTTCTACTGCTTTGACCCTTGGGTAAGGCAGGAAACTTTGTATTAACTCCGTTGCCAAACTCAGAGGCTGGAAGGAAAATTCCAAATGCTCTTCCCTCCCTCGCCAGGACCTGCAGCCGTGGTGGGGGCAGCGCACCCCATGTCCCGCACATGGCAGTGGAGGATGCTGAGGGCCCTTTGCGTCCCCTGTGCGATAAATAACAACACGTCGGCTCCCGATTTTATAAAAGCACGAAGCCAGCTGCGCAGCCACGGGTTGAGCGAGAGCTAATATTAGTTAGAGATGACTAAAATTAGACCCGAGCCAGGACTAATGAGTCGTTCAAGGAATAGAACCAGAACCGGAACAAATTAATTGCTGCTGAGATAGCGCCCCGGGGCCTGGCGGGCACCGCCGCCTCCAGCTCCAGGCAGGCTCCTGCTCCGCTTTGCTTGTGATGGGGGATCAGAGAGGAGCCTGGGGTCCCATCTGAAGGCTGTGACAGCAAATTAGAAGTCAGCATTTCAGTCCTGGACAGGGATTCGGCAGTGATGTGGTGCAGCGGGAGCTGGGATCCCAACGCAGCTGATCCCAAAGGGCTCAGGAAGGTGCCCCCAGCCCCACCGCTGCCCAGACGTGCCTTCCTAAATGCAAGGGTAATTACAAGGCCACCTCTTCCCTCTGATCCCGGTGGCACTGCCTTCTTTTTCAGCTTCGCCACCAGCTGCGATGCTTTGCAAAGCTCAAAGCAATCCAGGAGCTGCCATCCACACAGCCACCACCAGGAAAATTTCCAGGGAATTTGGAAGTTGGTAGGGATAAGCGGCCCATGGCTGCATTTTTCCATCTGACTCACTCACCTGTGTGGCCACTTCTTTTGACTTTCCAAAGGTGGTAACTCACCCTATATTTCTTTTTCCACTCTCAAGCAGCAGCTCCCGTTTTAGCAAGCAGCGTGACGCACGGCGTTTTAAATTCAATTTAGAATACAAACTATTTATACCAGCCAGAAAAAGGCAGCGAAGCAGCTCTTTCTGTCATGAGTGGATTTGTAATTTCAGAGCAATCATTGCACAACTAATTGAATCAGCTCTCAGCATGTGAAATCAGTGCCCCGCTTATTGGAGGTTTTCATCGCTCTCCCCTCCGAAGCCGAGCGGTCCCCCTTCACCAGCAGCACTTTGTGCGTCTGCACCAGCCCGGGAAGAAAGCGGGACCTGCAAAGCTGCTTTCTCTCTGCTCAAATAGAGCAAATAAATTACCACATGCGTTCAGAGTAGCTGAATAGCTGGGCTGCAGGTGCCCCCCGAAGCTGCCCGGGCTCCATGCGAGAGAGTGAAGTGCATTTGAAGGTAATGAAGTGCCAGCCGTGTCTGAGAAGTAAATTGGTGCTGAGATGCTCTGCCGCCTCCCACCTCCCTCTTCATCGCCCAGGTGCGCTCTGCTTGGCTTGAATTCAGGGTCTGAGCCAAACTCCAGGCTCGGCGCCTGAAAATGGAGCCTAAAAGAGGCAATAAATACAGCAAGGGTTACAGGAAAGGTAGGAAATAGAGTAGCTGTAAGGATTTTCATCAGAGGTCCTGGATTTGGTGGCTTGGGTGGATGCAGTCCTGCAGATTTTGGGAGCAGCTCCAGCCACCTGCGTGCAGCAGCCTCCCAGGGCCACAGGGCACCTCCTCAGCTGTGAGGGGCTTTGGACAGGGGCTTAAAACTGCAGCCAGAGAGAAATGTGCTGTGAAGGATGCAAATACCTCCCCAGAGATGCTGCCAACTGTCACTGATGTGCTGTGTGGTTTGTGTTGAGGCACCCATGCAGGTATGGGTGAGAGCCCTTAATGGCTGCAATTGCTGAGTGCTAACAAAGGGCAGCTGGGTCACCCTGTACAAGTGGAAGCAGCTCTCCAGGCTTGCTTGGTTCCTGCCAGGTATGATCCCTACAGCTGAATATAGGAAATGGTAGCACCCAGAAAATGAGAGCTGAGTTCCCCTGTGCTCCATCTCCTGCTCAGGGATCTGTTTTCCTTTCAGGAGAGCAATAACTGGGCTTTGTGATAGGGGTCTTTTAGCTTTGGTGGTTTGGGGACAGCCTTTGCAGTGCTCTCAGCCTTGGGCATATGTTGTCTAAGCCACACATTCCCCAAAACTGATGTATAGGGGTTTTTTAATTGCTTGGTGCTGCTGGTTGGTTTGGTGAACTGGGCAACGCAAGAACCAGCATGGCCAGAAGGAGCTTTCATCCCCAGGTGTGATTTAAGCCATGTCCCATCGTTTGCCTCCACTTGCTTCTCGCATGAAGCCACGCAGACAATGTGTGTCCCCATAAGGGGTTAAGGAGGCAGCACCCACTCCAGCACCCCCAACTGGGGCAGCACCCACCCCAGCACCCCCAACTACCCACCCTGTTCTCTGTTGTCTCCTCAGGTAGCCAGATGGGAGCACAAAACGCGAGCGCTCAGCCACGTCTTCGGCTCTCCCCGTGCTGCCTGCTACTGCCTGGGCGCCGTTATCCTGCTGCTGAACTGCGTGCGGAGCCACTGGTAAGGAGCTAACCCTGCCACTACGTATCCACGCACAGAAATGTCCCTGTGGGGTGTGGGGGATGCGGGAGATTTGCTCTGCAGCGCTGGATCCAGCCCCAGCGTGTTGCTTTGACATGGCTGGATACCCTCAGCCAGCAGTAGATTTATTCCAGGATTTGTAATAAAGACGAGGGAAGCGGCAGCATGGCCAAAACCATCGGTGCTGACAGCCGTGAGTGCTGCAGCTTTCCTCGCTCTGCTCCCTGGGGGCCATTTCCCCTGCCCTGAGAGCAGCCCAGGTGACAGCAGAGAGCTGTTTGCACAGGATGGAGCATATGTAACAGCAGAGTTTTTTCCATTTTCTCATAAGAATCATGAACAAATTTAAACCTGTTTTCAAGAAGCCGCAGTTTCCTGTGTAGAAGAGCAGGATTATCTGTGCACTTAGCCAGCAGCCTCTTTAAACTCTTATCAGCGATCTCTTCAAATACCACCTGTGCTAGCTAATAGTATTGTGTGACTGATGCACCGTACACCATGGGAATACGTCCTTTGACGTTCTGAGTGCTGCGGAGAGGTTTACTGCAGCAGATTTCCTCAGCGCCAACAATTTATCTGCGATCTGGTGAGCTTTATCTCCAGTGCTGTTAGGAGAGAGACAGACTCTCTTACTAAATTCGCAGATTCAATTATGCCAGGGTCAAAGCTAATGGGTTGTTTAGTGCTTTGGGTAATTTCCCAGGCGCGGAGATCTGGGGGTTGGAATTTGCACATGTATTTACTTAAGAGCTTTGCCTTCCTGGAAGTGACACCCGAGACCTGCCCTTGCCTTTTTGCGTTGGTCCCAGCTACTCCTTATTGCAGAAACCGTAAGGAAGCTTGGGATGAATGGGGCTGTAATTGAATGCGGGCAATGCACAGGGCATGGATGTGCTCTGCTGATGTCGTAGTGACAGAGCAGGCGTGGATCTCGCTGGGGAATGTCTCAGCGGCCTCTTGCACAAATGACACAGACCTTTGTTGTCTGGGAAGCAATGCAGAGCCTTGTGGCTGCCTTTAATTAAAAACACAGCTGATGGAGGCACAGGCTCTGTTCCCAGTGATCCTGCTGATTCCTGGGTCAGTGAGGCACTGATGGGGAACTGCTGGGAGAGCCAAAGGGTTCTCATCTGTCCCATCACTGTATCACCCCTGCAGACCCCTCAGTGCCCTACCAGTGTGGTCATCGCTGTCCCTGCAGGTTCTGCTCCATGTCATGAGTTTGTGAGTGCTGGGGGGCTCATTGGGGGTGGCTCTGCCTGCACAGGCCCTGAAGAAAATGGCAAGATCAGCCCAGGGGGCTGGAAAAGCCTCGTTTGGACCTTGGTTTTGGAGGAGAGGCTTTGGTAGATGGAGCAGCTCCCCCCCAGCAGAACCTGGATGCAATGCCAGCCCACTCTGATGGACCAAGGCCATTTCAGATGATTGCAATATGAAGTTCATTTTGCCCAGGTATTTTAACATGGTTGGGTTATTCCCTTGCCCTTTCGGCACTGAATTTGGCCTGAATGAGGGCTACCAGGCATTGGAGGCTGTTAAAGCAAGGCCAGACCTTAACTGTGGGAGCAATGGGGTGGTTTTAGGGTGGTCATCAGAGCAGCAACTGCTGGAGTCACCCTGAAATGCACCTGGGAGCCTCATTGCCTCCATCCCCAGCTCTGCAAACCCTCCAGGACTGCCCAAGGCTCATTGCTCAAGCCTGGAGAGGTTGTGGTGTTTGGGAAGGATTCATCCTGTCCCTTGCATGAAGATACCGGCCAGGTCCAACCCAGGGTTTGGCTCACCAGAGTTTCACAGGTTGTACAACACGGGCACTGCCACCTCAGCATCCAGTGATGCTGGGAGGGATGCGTCTCAGCTGCTTTCCTATTTTGCTCTTCCCTTTATTTTGTGTTCTGATGAAAGCTGGTCTCTGCTCCTCAGCCCCACGGAGGCGATGCAGTCGGCAAAGCGCAAGCAGTCAGGGTTGCTTGGCTGCTGATAGCAAAGGAAAAGGCAGCCTCAGGGGGGTCCCTCCACCCCCAGTGCCATAATCCAGCCTTTAAAACTCCTCTCTGCGTGCTCTGGGGACTTTGCATGTGGGTGGGGGCTGCCAGGGAGCAATGAGGGAGCCCACGGGATGTCTTTTTGGGTTTTAAAAACCTGCTTCCTTTTTGCAACCGAGTTTTTGAAAGGCTCCAAAGCTGGAGGCGGAGGGGAGGGCAGAGCAGACAGAAATTTTGAGGGTGGGTTGGCATCGCAGCTGAAAGCACCTGAGAGCTTCACTGCCCGCCCCACGCAAGGGTCTCTGCTGTGGTCCTGTCCCCAGCTCAGCACCGTGGTCCTGTCCCTGGTTCAACACCGTGATCCTGTCCCCAGCTCGGCACCGTGGTCCTGTCCCTGGTTCGGCACCGTGGTCCTGTCCCTGGTTCAACACCGTGATCCTGTCCCCAGCTCGGCACCGTGGTCCTGTCCCCAGTTCGGTACTGTGGTCCTGTCCCCGGTTCGGCACCATGATGCTCTCATGCAGGCTTTGCTCCAAAGGGATACCTTGAGTGTGAGAAGAGGAATATCTCATGCTTAATTAAGCAATTAGGTGCTTCCGAGCTTTGTTATCAGCCTTGGTTGGCTTCTGGGAAACAATCCAGAGTGACCTGTGACCAGGGGAGACCTGCTTAGTCAACTGCACACGACAAGCATCCTTAATTGCCGTGGTGCACTGATTATTTTCCTTACAGCCGTGCTCTTTGAGTAAGAAGCTGGAAACTTCCACCACTGAGGCTCTTATCTGTGAAAACAACCCCTGAACTTTTGAACTATCTGCACTGCGTGCGCTGCCCCAGCGATTTACGGCTGTTATCTGCGTGACATGGGACGTGACAACCTTCGCTGTCCTCCAGACTTGCAGCCGGTGCCTTCCCACCTTGTGTCAGCTCTGCAAGGAGCTGCTGGGGCTGCCTCCGAGCCCTCCTGTGCTCCCGTTTGCCCACCCTGGCAACCTCCCCATTTTGGCAGAGGTGGGTTTGTACGCAGGGAGCTGATGAACTTCCAACTGTGAGGGTCTCGGGGTGTTTGCTTGAGTTGTAAAGGCAACATCCGTGTGTAAACCCTGAGTGGAAGGTTTCCAGATACAGTCACAGGATGGTTTGGGTTGGAAGATGTGAGAGGCTTAGGGTGATGCCTCTGGTCAGGGTGAGCACCCCAAATCAAGGGCAGCGCCTTTGGCAATGTGCTCGGTGGGTACCACACTGCAGGCTGGCATCAAGCCTTCGTTAATCCCCTCATGCATGGATGGCTTCTTGCTTGGAGCTGATGTTTCCAAGCAAATTAATCCCCCCAGGATGGGATTTTGCACAGGGAAGGGGCTGTGTGGCATTGCCTGGCAGCGCCTCTCGCCTTTACGCTCAATGCTGTTTAATTTTGTGAGCAAGTACCATGAACACGCACAGTGTAAATAGTATCGATCCCAGAGCCACGTGGCCTTCTGTGCAGAAGCGGCCGAGTTTGATGATGGGAATCGAGCGTGGCCTGAAGAAACCAACGTCCCCTCCAAGCCCCGCTGCCAGCAATCCCTGACGGGCATTTGGGAAAAGCCACAGGTGACCAACAGCACCTCCCACCCCTGCTGGGGATTCGGCAAAGGGAGCCGAGATGTGAGGAAGGGGGAGAAGCTGCAACAGCCCCAACCTGACCTAAATAACACAACCACCAGCGCTGGCAGGAAAGCAGAGTCATTACTGGCAAAAGAAGCTGTGAAGATGATGACGGGGCTGACGATTGCCGGTGGTGTCGGCAGGACCATTTCAGCGTTGTTGGGGTTGGTTTTGTTTGGGTTTTTTTTCACAAATGAACAAGATCTTTTGTTGCAGCCTGTGCCGCTGGGCACCGCCGCGTGGTTTTACCCCCATTGCCTCCTTTTGCCGAGAGGAACAAAACCTCAGGCATGGGGGACAAAGCCGTGTCCTGCGTGGTGGCTGCTGCCTCCAAAAACCCTGCCTGCCTACGCTGCCACTGCTTCCTCGCTGCCTGCCGGCCCCTGGCCCAATTCTGCCCCAATTGCAGTTGCCAGCCCCAGTTTCTTGGCTTCATTTTTGGGATCAGGCAAAGGGAACGCTGCAGGGCTGCTCCCTGCAGTGACCCAGTTTGCTGGACGAGGTCTTTGCCCTCCTTTGCGGGAAAGGGATTGCAAAATACGCTCGCTGTGGGCCACCGAGACCTAAAAAGCTCAGCTTTTCTCTTAGCATGCTATTTCCAGGTTTGCTCCGTGCTCCACACGGCCTTTGTGGATGTATTTTGGGCTGCAGGCTTTTCCAGTTCGTGTGGTTTATTCCTATGAAGCGATGGCCGAGGATCTGAACAAGCACATCTCTATTTTGGGAAGGGTGGGCAAAGCAACGCCTGCTGCCTCGGCTTCCCCATGCAAAACCCTGCAGCAGTTGTGCAGCCCAACCTTGGCTGCTCCCACCCTACCAGGAATTCCCCAAATCTGCCAATTCGACCAGGGCAGAGCTGATGGATTTGGGTTGTTCCCTGCCAGGGTGGAGAATGGGTGCCTCTGGTGTCCTGCTTCACGCTTGCAAGCATGGGGAGATGTCAGGGGAAGCCTCACGTCCCCAATTTCCACTTGCCAAAACTGGGGGTGCGCTCCAGGCCCCCCCAGTGTCAGATGTTATCATGATAGCAGCGGGGTATGTGGTTAAAGTAGGTCGCAGCCCACCTACCCCCCCTGTCCCCTGCAGTGCTTAAAGGGATGCTCCTCGCCATGGCAATCGCACATAAAGCGTTTCCAGGTACGGGGACAAAGCGCGGCTTTAATCGATGTCCTCTTGGGTGCCGAGCTGGGCCGCTGCCTTGTCATGCAGCCAAAAACAAGTGCTGTAACCAACGTGACTCACAGACACATGGTGACAGGGACTGGGTTAATGACAAATGGGCTGCAGGACCAGCTCCCTCAGCAAGGGAGATGCCACCACCTCGTCCTCCCCTGCCACTGAGGAGCCCTCGCGGATGCCGAAATAATTGACGCCGCCGCGCTGCTTGTCATGGCCCAGCGTCGTAAGTGCTGAAAAGGTTTATTTACCAATTCTGAAGGCTCCTGTGCACATCATGTTTAATGCAAATAGAGAGTGTGTTTAGGAAGATAGAAAACATTACTAGAGGGAGAGGCGGTCCGTTATCGCCGTGCAAACACCTCTCTCTAGCTGTAAGCCACGCAGCAGGGGACATGGCGAGGTATGCTGATGGGGGGAACTAATGCAGGCCTATCTGACCGTGAAGAGGAAGGATGGGATCATCTGGAGCAGGGGAGGGGGCTTTGCCAACACAAACTGTGCCACGTGCTGGTTGCAAAACCTCCACGGCTGATTCGCAGTCGCCGGTTCATGCTCCTGAAGCCGCCTTTGCTCTTCTGCTCCAAGACTGGGTCAGGTTGTTGGCGTAGGAGCCTCAAGGATGGAAGAGTCCACCCAAACCCAGGTAGCGCTGGTGGCAGGGATGGAGATTTGGGCTTCCTCACAGGAGAAACTTGTGTCATTTAAGAATAAATAGCAGGGAAGTGATGCAAAGGGTTGTGCAGCTGCTGCTGCGTTGTGTTGCAGCCGGCTTTGCGTGTTCCCATCAGCAGTGACTTTAAGCTAAACGAACGTGAGCCTGGTGAGCACAGGAAGGTGCACTGGGTGCTGGAGGAGAACCAGCCTGGGGATGTGCACTCTTACATTGCCAAGGTCACACTGTCCTTCCTCTGCCTCTGCTTGGCTCCTGGGAAAAGGGAATTTCTCTGTAATTTCCAGCATGGCGAGCAGAGCATAAATCACCAGGATGCTGTGTTCTTGCTCGCTCCCAAGCACACTGCATTTATTCTGCATTTTATTTCCTTCCTCCAGTCCAAAGTGAAGCTTAAATGGGTCCTAAAAAACTCCCTGACAGTAGAAAACTTAATGCACCATGAACAACAAAAATTATCATCCAGGTCCTTAAACCACAAGGTTTAAAACATCATCCCAGGCTTTGCTTGGTGCGTGTAACTTCCCAACTGATTTGAGCCTTCGAAAGATGCGTTTCCAGCTCTGGGCAGGCAGGACTGTCTCTCTCAGCTTTCATTTGGGCAACAGAGAAAATCCAAGGATTTCCAGGGCTCGGAGGAGCTGGACATTGGAAAAAAAAAACCCCATCCCAGGTAACGTCATGGAAATAGGTGGCAGGAAAACCACTGAGCGCTTTCCAGCCCGGGAGCGCGGGCAGGAGCTGCTGTCCTGGCCCAGCCCTGCAGGGCTGAGAGCTGTTATTTTGCTTAAATTTCAGCCTCCAGGGTGCTCGTTACAAAAAAGGCTCCAAGTTTCCTACCTCGTGTGTCGGCACCATGTGGTGCAACGCTGCGTCCGGCTCTGCGGGTCTGTTATCTCGCCGTTAGCAACGGGCGCTTTTTTAATCGCGGTGTTGTCTCCTCTGTAGGCGCGGGATTGCGTCGGAGCTGTGCGAGATACGGAGCCTGCCCCGGGCAGAGGTCAGGGTCCTGTAAGGGGATCGTGATTTTTCCACTCACAAAGCAGTGTTTGGAAGGTCAGCCCCGAAATGCCTGAAGGAGCCCGGGGCCGAGGAGCTGTGTTCGCACCCTCTAGTATTTTCCTTTCGCCGCTCCAATCCTCCCCCTGGCTGTCAGGCTTCAGCCGTGAATCACTCCCGGGCACGTGGCTGACACATGAGCACTGCAAAATATTTTGATGGAGAGGAACGGGGGCGGGAGCATGAGGTAACGCACCCGATTGCTCCCAAACCTTGAAGTCCTTTGCATCCTCCAGCATTCACAGAATCACAGAATCACACAGAATCCCAGACCGTTAGGGATTGGAAGGGACCTCAAAAGCTCACCCAGTCCAATCCCCCTGCCGGAGCAGGAACACCCATATGAGGTTACACAGGAAGGCGTCCAGGCGGGTTTTGAATGTCTGCAGAGAAGGAGACTCCACAACCTCTCTGGGCAGCCTGGTCTAGGGCTCTGTCACCCTCACTGAGAAGAAGTTTCTTCTCAAATTTAAGTGGAACCTCCTGTGCTCCAGTTTGTGTCCGTTACCCCTTGTCCTATCATTGTTTGTCACCGAGAAGAGCCTGGCTCCATCCTCGTGACACTCACCCTTTAAATATTTATAACCATGAATGAGGTCTCCCCTCAGTCTCCTCTTCTGCAAACTAAAGAGCTACAGCTCCCTCAGCCGCTCCTCAGAAGGGAGATGCTCCACTCCCTTGATCATCTTTGTAGCCCTACAAAGGCTTTGCAAGGGCATCTTTCCCAGATGCCAAAACAACCCGAGCTGTGGACAGCAAGGCAAAGCTTTTGAGCGGGGTTGGTATTTGCAGGAGTGAGCAAGGGTTGCAATCACTGTCCCAGCTCAGGTCCTGGCTGCTCAGGGCCGTTCTCCTCTGCTGGGAGGTTGAGTAAGTCCAGGTGGAAAAAGGGACCTGGTGAAGGGTCCTCCTCAAGCAGCGCCCTCTTCCAAAGCTCCATATCTCGCAGTAATAATGAATAATGAGTAATTAGTAATGAGTTGCTGCTGTTAACAGCCCTTGTTGTCTCTCCCACAGCTTCACAGAAGCCATGAAGAGCCAGCCGAGGCTGGAGGGCTTGAACTGCCACTGGGCCTATTACGCAGGCGTAGCCATCTTGGCTGTTGGGACCTTGTTTGTCATCTCCAGCTTCTCAGCACTGGGATTCACTGGGACCTTCCTAGGTAAGCACTAAAAATTCAACAGCGTAACCTAAAAGTTCATTTAATCCTCACAGGGGTCTTTTGCTGGTGCAGAGTCCACATGGATTTCCTTGTCCTTGCCTTCAGGGCTGTTAGATTTGGTCTCAGCTTTACAATACCAAAGCCTGGTCTAACCACGCTGTCACCTCACACAAAGAGGATCACGCAGCGAGTCCCATCGCCTTCGGTGCCAAACCTGAAATTTTAGAAAGCGGTTGATGATCTGACACTTCAAACACCCCCCCCAAGAAAAGGGACCCTGAAGCACAGACCGCATGAGCAGGTCAGCACCGGCACAGCGGGTACGAGCCGTCCGGTTGCTCTGAGCCTTGCTCTGACATGCGTGCCGAGGCAGGATTTCATTTGCTTTTCCCTCTGCAATAAAACCTGGCGTTCGTTGACAGATTCTTTTTATCTGCCGCTTTATGGCAGAAGGCATTTTCCGCTGTGCCTGCTTTCACATTTAGAGAGTAATTCTATTAGCGTTGTTGACTTTAAAAACATGCCAGTATGTGTGGAATTCATAAAAATAAAATAGAGACAGGAACAATAAATATCGAAGGAAAGGGGGCAGCTCCCGCTGGCTGAAATAATCACAGCCCCAGCTTTGACACTGCATTTAGGCTGTGCTTTTGCGAGTGCTTTACAAACCAAATTCAATTAGCTCCTGCAGCGTCGTCAGGAAGAAGAGAAGGAGGTAATAAGCCTTCCTGGTTTCAAGTGGAGTTGCAAAGAAATGTGTTGAGTTGGCCAGAAATAGAGCTCAGCACTGCTCAACATGCACCCTCACCCTTCATCTGTGCAGCCTGGTCCCGTGTTATACCCCTGTTCCCCAGCACCCTCCAAAATCCCTTGCGGCCCCCAGGAGCGATGCTGTGCCTGCGAGGACGTGTCCAGGGAGGCCAGGCACAGGAGTCCCCGCCAGTGAGAGCTGCTTGAGCGCCCCTGAAGTTCAGCCAGGTCTGGGGTTGTTTACGTAGAGCCTGATTCATCCGACCGGGAGGATCCACTGCACTTGAACCGCTGGGGAAAAGCAAACAAGTGAGTCAGGCTCAGCGTAAGCTGGGAGAGCGGCCCCGGCCCCCTCTGCTCTGCACGGTTGATGGCTCCCATATCCCCCAGGGCAGGGAAGAGACAGGCATTACTGATCCATATGGGGCATTTCTGCTCCATCCTCCCTGCCACCAGTGCACCAGGTTGGGTCTGCACAGCTCCCAGCCTTGCAGGAGCAACACCAGCTCTCTCTGCTGTACGGGACATGATGGGCACTGGGGAAGAGCTGAGTCAGGTGGGGAGATGCCAAAACCATGCACCAGTACAACCAGGCTGGTTGGGACCTCTGTACCACAGTGCCATGGCCCAGCTGGAGCCCCACAGAGCATCCATCCATGGACTGACAGTGGCTTCTCAGCTCCATGCAAGCCCAAGTCAGCAAACTCCTAATGAAGAATGCTGTTCAGTGTGGTTTCTTACCCAGCCATGGGGAAGAGGAGGGGTCTGCAGGTCTCTGAGGATCTCACATGGGATGTTCTCTTGCTTGGGACTCACTTGGGTTTGATATTTCCAGTGTCTCCTGCATGCAGGGTTGTAGAGGGGAGCGGGGTCGCTGAGCTGTGACAGCACTTCTGACTGCAGGTACCAAAGGGCTGCGGTGCTTTGAGAAGAAGGGAACATGCAGCTGCTTCTCATAGCTGATATCTGAGCTCAGGAGAAGTTTAGAGAGAGCCTCTGACACCCAAACACTTCAAAAACTTACTGCAACCGCATTTGACCCTTCCCTTTTGGGTTCTCCTACAGCAGTGAGCACTGAACCAGGCAGGGCACAGAGACCCCATCGGGGCTGCCCGGTAAGTTCCTCTTTACCAGCACATTGAAGCTTTAGAGCTGCTGAGGAGCACTTTGTGTCTCAAGTGTGGGCTGAACAATGCAGTGGGAGCTGCGTGAGTCACCCTCCTGTGACAAACCTTTCCGTGCCACCCCGTTGCCCACCCCAGCCCCTGTTTGCAGCCCTTGGATGCGGCACCGTGCCCCTCACAGGGATTTGGGCATTGGTTCAGCTCCGTTTGCCCTATTTCCTAACGAATGTAGTAACGAGGGCTTGACTTCCCAGAGGCTGAGGGCACCACGAGGTGGCTCTGCCTGTCTGACCCCATCCGTCTCGCACCCGAGCGCGGTTCCTCCAGTGCTGACCAAGATTTCAAGTAAATCTGACTTGACTGAAGTCTGTCACTGGGCTGTGGTGGAGCCAGCGCAGAAGCTGTGGTGGTGGTGGTGGTTCAGCCCAGGTCAGGCTCTGAGGCTGTGGGTGACCTTGTGGAGCACCTCAAGTGGCTTTTTGCTGCTGCAATCCAAAGCGTCTGCCCTTTGCAGGGGGTGGTTACCCTGACCTTCAGCGAAAAGTCACCCAATTGAGATGGCAAAGTCCCTCGGCCTGACAAGGAGCAGATTCCAGCTTTGAGGGCACAGGAGATGCCCAGACTGATGCTGTGCAGCGCAACATGGGGTCCTTTCCCCCTGAATATAAAAATACTGCAGGTCCTCTCTGGTTATCGTGTTCATTAGAGGCAGGGTTTACATTGGAAAAGCTTGTGTATGGTTGCTCCGTGCTTTTGCTTGCAGGGATCCTGCCCAGAGGGTCCCACAACCCCACCAGTGCCAAGCTTGGATCAGTCCCGCAAACCCAGGGCTTTGTGCAAACCTCTCCAATGCCAGCACCGTTTGGGGAGCGAGGTGTTCAGCCCAAAGGCGAGGGCGGGCAGGGTGTAATGAAGCATTTTGACACATAAGAAAGCGCCAAAATGGGCTGTGGCAGGGGGTGAAGTGTTCTTTCTGCCAGAACAATCTCCGAGATGCATTGCCAAGTAGCTGTGAGAACATATAGTATGAATACTAGGCAATTATCCCACTTAGTGGCCTGTAGTTAAATCCCAAAAGCATTGTCTAATTGGGCAGGCGCCGTTTATCCTTAGAAATAAATGTTGTTGCACCATGTGAGGTCAAAGAAATTACACCGCGATCCAGGTAATAATAACAACCTTGAGTAGTTTGTACTCCTGCAATGCCCTTTATCTGGATTGCCAAGCACTTTCTCACCATACATTAATCCTTGCCACCCTCTGCTTTATAAGAAAAGGCTGATATTATGATCGGTGCACAATAGCACCAGGAGAGACGAGGGAGACGTGTCCAAGGGCAGGGAATGGGGCTGGCAGCGGAGCTGGGAACGTGACCCAGCGCAGTGGCAGCAACCTGGGCTGATGGACCAGAGCTGCTCCTCACTGATCGATGCTGCGAAATCCTTGCTGGGCTTCATGGTCTCGCTTGTAGCAACAACAGAAATCAAATATCTGCATCCTGGCTCTTTTTTCCCCCAAAACTCTGCTGCTCATGAGCTGCACAGCATCTCCTTGCTTGTAATTTCTTCTCCAGGCTCCTTTCAGGAGGGTTGCTCCGAGGTACATAGGGAGCTGGTTGGATGCTGACAGTTCTGAAAGCTTTCCTCGTTACAGATGGCAATCACCTATTACCATCATCACGCTGATAATTGGGTGTTTTGTAGGCAGAGGTGCTATTTTCTGCAATTCTGAGAAATCCTCTGAACTATGGGATAAGGGTGGCACTAAATGAGGGGAGTTGGTGGCAGCGGTCGTGGTTATAACATCTCGACACACCATTGCAGTGCACTGGGCTTGTTTCCCCATGGAATGGTTTTGATCCTGTGCATTTGCTTCCTCGTCAAGTGGCATCAAACAGGCACTTTTCAAATGAAACAGCCAGAAGCAGTGAATTTGGACCTCGAGAGCTGCCTCCTGATGAGGGATGTGGCTGCTGTAGCCACACTGCAATGCACAAACGTTCATTGTGGGCAAAGAGCCATTCCTGGAAAAGGAGATGGACGTGGAGTAAACAGCCAAGCTGTTTGTTTGCGCTTTTCTCAGCCTGGAAATCAGCATTGAAACCCCTCATTTGCCTTTGCTCTGCCTCCTCGACAGGGATGCCCCATTGCACAGGGAGGGTATTAATGTCCCAGAGCGCCCCAGGCTTCACGGATCCTAACGAAAACCCCTCTGTTTGCTCTCCAGGTGATTATTTCGGCATCGTGATGGAGGCAAAAGTGACCGGCTTCCCCTTCAGCGTCCTGGATAATCCCATGTACTGGGGCAGCACAGCCATCTACCTGGGCTGGTCCCTCATGTGAGTACAGCACCAGTTTTTGGGCAAATTTGGGGTCTGTGCTCAGCAGCATCAGGGGCCCAAAGAGCGCTCAGTGATGGCAGTCGGCAATAAAATGGCAGGGAAAGTGCAACGTGCCCTGGCTCCTCACTTGCCGACTGGTTTTGTGCCTGCAAAACCTGCTGCTGTCACAAAAGACTGGCAGCACTAATTGGAGAAATAGGAATAATAGGGGAGTGCTGGGGAGAGGAAGCATCAGGAAATGCTCTGCAGCTGAGCGAGGGCCTTGGCAGGCTCCACACGTGGAAAAATCAACAGTCGGGGCCGAATTCACGCCGGGTGTCACTCGGCAGGGGCAGGGTACGAATACGGGGGATCGGTGTGACCCTGTAATTACCTCTGAAAGCAGCAAAAGGAGGCATCACACCCTTTCCCCCACTGCACGGTGGTAACACTTCCGAAACTCTCCTCGTGATACAGCGCGGCTTAATAGCCTGCTTGGGAAGAAATGAATAGGCTGTAATTTAGCAGCAAATGAGCAATATACTCTATTCTCTGTAACAGGTTTTATGTGGTTTTCATTTAATACCGCGTTTTATTTATTTGCTCGGGAGAAAAGCAAAGCCCTGGCTGTGTTACATCGGGAGCACGTAGAGCATTGCAGGCCTTTGTCACTGAATATTTTGCACCGGTGCTCTTGAGTGGGACCATCTCTTTTATACATCAGTGGGAAAAATGAAGTGCTTTGCCGCTTTCTGGCCGCTTTTTCAACCACGTGCACAGCGCTTTCTGGCCCCTGGTAATAAGTAAAGCTGCTGGTTTCTCTCCTGTCTCCGCTGAGCCTTGTTCTGCGCTTGAATTCCCCTGCAGTGCCGTCAGGGCCGGCTGCCCGAGGCCTTTTGCCTTCCTGGCAAACCCACAGCGCTGGACTGGGTCCAAAACCCTGGAAAATGGTGCACGAGGGCTGGGGTGAGCTCACTGCTGGGGCTGTGGCGGTGCTGGACGGGAGATCCCAATGTGGGGCTGGCAGTGGCACTGGAGAGTGGGGCAGAGCTGGGGCAGGATGAGCCCCCCCCCCATACCACACCACAGCGGGAGCCAACCAGCACCACCACCCCCACAGCAGCACAAAGCGATGAGTTAGAGCGGGAGAATTTATAAGGAGGTTTTTATTTAAGATGAGCATTGAACTAATTCCCAGAACATTTCAGACCCTCCCAAGCTGTTTCTGTCGCAGAAATCCCTTCTTCACCCCCGCGAGAGAAAAGCCTCGCGCCGAGTGCACGTTGTGTGGTTTTCCACCGCGATCCTGGGCGAAAGCGGCTCGAAGCGGCTGGAGGCAGCAGCACCATTGCCTCCTTTTTCTCGTTAAAAGGCTGCCACCGTAAAGGGCAGCAAGGCATGACAAATAATTGCTGTTAACAAATTGCCTGAGCTGTGCAACAGTGGCACTGGGACGCTGCCTGCCTGCCCTGGGGAGCCCTGCACAGCCCTTCGCGGGGTGGTTTTGGCTGTTTCTCTTCCCTGGGATGTCAGCTCGGTTTGCTGAGGGTTTTTGGGGGAATCCTAGGTCTTTTCTGTGGTCCCAGGGCTTTCAGATGTTGGGTGTCTGCCCTGGGAGGCCAGAGCTGACGTCTCAGCGATGCTGGAGGAATGTGTCTGCTATCTGGATCAGGTCAGACGTAAACGTCGGGCGTATTTGTCCTCCCTCGGTGATGGATCGCGCTCCGTATCGTGGCATCAGAGCCCGAAGGACTGATTCATCTCCATCTGTAAGGGCACACACCATGCAACGTAAGCGAGCCTGGCAGCACACCAGACTCTGCCTTCCTGCTCCAACCCAACCTCAAAAGCATCGCGTGGGGCGAGAGCCGCTGGTTTCTCCTTTTGCAGCTATCCCTGGCTCAACTAATGGCAGCCTTGCAGCCAAAAATGTGTCCAACAAATGCGCTGGAGGAGGCATCTCCACCATCACCACAAAAGCAGGAGCTCCAGGAGGGAAGGGCAAAGCGGGTGTCCCGTGTCCAACACCCAGGACCAGCGAGGAAGGATGCTCAGACAACCCACAGCCATGGGGAGCTGCAGAAGGGTTGGGGACAGACAAATTTCCTACCCGAAAAAGTCCTACCAAGACCACCAAACCTTTGTGGCTGACTTGTCAACCCCACTACGACATGAGCTGTTACCCTCTTAAGTAGGTTGAGCTCCTACCAGGAGAGAAACAACTCACCCGAATGCTTCTCATTTCTCCCGAAAGACAAATGGAGCATTCGCCGTTTGGGGACAGCTTTGTGTATCTCTGGTAGGGAAGTGTTTTAACTGGTGTCAACAGGCGGTGTAAATCAGAGCTGGAGCCGCAGCCAAATGATGCAATTAGAGGTCTCGCTGTCAACAAACAATCATGCAAATTTGTTCTCTCTGATAGGAATCAAGGAGGAGACATGACTAAGCATGTAATAGCAGGGGGTTGGGACAGGAAGAACTTGCCCGATGCTTCCCAATGAGGGAAAAACTTAGTGCAAAGTGAAAGCAGTGAGAAGGTGAAGGTTTGTGTGCGTCTCTCCAGGAACAGATGCAGCCAGGCAGTACCTGACGGCAGCTCCAGCACAGGGTTTAGGTAGTTTGGTCTCTCTGAAGGCACTTTTTTCCCCTTGCTGAAGCCTTGCAGGATGTTTCTTCTCACCAAGGACCAGCTCAGTATGTTTTTATTGCTGACAGCCAGCTCTTGTTCCCCTCAGAGCTGAGCTGCAACCAGCAATTAAAGGCAAGCAGTGATGTCCTTATTAAGGGCAACGCTTGCAGCCGTGAGCTGAAGGTGCAGGATGCAGAAGGGGTGTTTTGGGGGGCTGGTGCCTGTGGAGAGATGGGGCCTGGACCTTGTGGGTGCTGGGTGAGCAAGGGAGTAATGGCTGATGGTGTGGTCACTCTGAACTGGGGGATTTCACACTTCATGGGATGGTGTCAGCACCATATTGAGGTCCTGTAACCCACCAGGCTGAGATCCTGGTGCCTTAGCAAAGCCCCTGCTGCCTTTGCCTTCAATTGCCTCAAACACCTTCAGGCCAAGCATCAAAGAGGTGGCCCCACATGTGCGGTGCAGGTTTGCAGCCTGCGTTGACATCTGTCCTTCAAGGAGGAGGTGATGGGGATATTTTGGTCCCAATTCTTTGGCCTCAGTGCTAAAAGGAACAGCCACCCTTGTTGCAGCCATCGAGCACCTCTGCCCATACAGCGCGATGTGGTGGGTGGTATCTGTCCCCGTGCTGTGCCTGGTGACCGCTTTGCTAAAACGCCTTGAAATGGGTTCAAATGTGAACCAAGCCCCCACGCACCCACCCCAGCACCCTTCACAGGGCAAGCATGGACCTTTCCATCCCTTTCCATCCCTTTCCATCCCTTTTCATCATTTCCACCCCTATGATGGCTCAGCTGCCGTTTCGATGTGTATGGCACCATACGCTGTCGTCTCAGCCTGGGTGGCCCCTCTTGCTGTGCACATCAGGCATTTCCCCTATAGCACTGCCCAGGAGCCACCACCGTACGTATGCACGCAGCTGCTCAGCTCTTAAACAGCTCTATAATCTCAGGACTTAGCATCAAAGCTCTCTTAGCAGAGACGTGCAGGGAGCAGACTTAGCAGAAGTCACCCAAGTAGGCTGGGGAAGAGCCTTTGCCAGGTAACTTCTGTCTAAGACAGTTCACATCAAGTACAAAAAAAAGCCCCAGCCCTTTTGTGCGCTGCTGTTTAATGAGCAAGAGCGAGAGCTCTCACGGAGCCCAGTGTCTCATTGCACTTTCTAAACCAGGTCTTGCATAAGCCCGTGGACTTACCTGATCTTTCCCTTCTCTTTCAAAACAGGCACGCAAGCCCAGCTGGCCTTGTGCTGACAGCTGTAGTGGCAATTTCCTACACAATCGCGGTGCTGTACGAGGGGTGAGTAGCTCTGCAAGGCTGGAGAGCCTCTCATTATTGCTACCAGCTTTAACTCCCGAGGTTTCGGGGAACTGCAGAAGTGGAGGTGGTTTTTTTCCAATTAATGCAGCAGGGAAGAAAGCAAACATAGGATTGTTTTTCGATTGTTTTGATAATGGGCAGATTCCTCTCCAAAACTATTTGCTGAGTTCTAGGAACATTTATGCATATGTTTATTTTTATCAGAATGAGACTTGCTTTTTCTTTCGGGTGCCTGATTGTGTCTGTACGAGAGCAATGGGGAAGGCAGTGAGAGGACTCCTTGTGCCATCTGAAGAGAACCTGCACCCAGAGCTGGCGTTTTGTAGTTCCTTGGATGGGTTTCTCTGATATTTTGCACCACAATAGCCTGAAAGCCAGGGACAGAACAACCCAAACTGATTCCCAGAAGCAGCCGTTGTACTTCAGCAGTGAGAGGTCTTTTGTGTTTGCAAGGGAGGAGGGGATGCAAAGAGAGCCGAGGCCGAGAGGTGAGCAGAGCCCAGAGCCCAGTGAGGATGGTCCCAGGTGGGAGCAGCTTGGAGCTGCTTCGTGGTCCAGAGAGACCAAGCTGAGCATTGCCTTGGTGCAGGGATGGCTGGGTGGTGCCAGCCTGCAAAGGGCAGAGTTTCTGGGCCCAAAGGAGAGCACACAGCAGTCTTGATTTTAACTCTTCCTCTCTCTTGTGTTTTTCCCCCAAATTTCCATCCTCCCAACCACAGGCCTTTCACAGAGGAAATCTATCGGCAGAAACAGAAGGGAGCAAAGAACAAGTAGCCACAGGTACGTTTGCCAATCGGTGTTTCAATGAGAGGGGTTGCTTTACTGGGCTCCCCTACCCATCCCACATGGGATGGGGATGGGATCACCACCCAGCGCCCCCCTGCCCACTCATGCCTTCCCCGGCTCCTCCAGAGCCTTTCCTGCACTTCTCAAAGGGTTTGAGCTTCAAACCTCCACAAAAAACCCGGGCGGGAAGGCTTTACACAGCGGTGGTTGTGTCCGCCTCTTGGCACCCGACCAGCAGCCCCCAAATTGTTTTGATTATGTACTTGAGAGGCAGCGCGAGGGAAGATTGCTGAGGAGCTTTGAGGCTCTGGGCTTCATGTAAATCAGGCAGGAAAAAAAGCAACTATTGGCCATGGCAGGTGCTTCAGTGAGCTAGGAGACAGGGATGGAGCGAGGGGATGGGAATAGAGCGACAGGATGGGGATGGAGCGAGGGGACAGGGATGGAGCGAGGTGATGGGGATGGAGCGAGCGGACAGGGATGGAGCGAGGAGACAGGGATGAAGCAATGGGACAGGGATGGAGCGAGGGGACGGGGTGGAGCGAGGAGACAGGGATGGAGCAAGAGAACAAAGATGGAGCAAGGGGACAGGTTTGGAGCGAGGGGACAGGGATGGAGCAATGGGACAGGGATGGAGCAAGAGGACAGAGAGGGAGCGAGGAGACAGAGATGGAGCAATGGGAGAGGGATGGAGCGAGGGGACAGGGGTGGAGCGAGGAGACAGGGATGGAGCAAGGGGGCAGGGATGGAGCAAGGGGGCAGGGATGGAACAAGGGGACAGGGATGGAGCAATGGGACAGGGATGGGAGTGAGGGGACAGGGATGGAGTGAGGGGATGGGGATGGAGCAAGAGGAAAAAGCTTCTGCAAAAGCACAATCTTCTGCCCGGGCTCCTTTCCCTGGGGTTAAAGATGCCCTGGAAACCCCTGGTGCAGCCCCGCAGCCTCTGCCCCATTGAAGACACCATAGCCCCAGTGCGGTCCCTAACAGACTCTTCTCTCTTTGCCTTCTGCAAAGCCATGATTCAGATACCTCGGCACAGCGTGCCCCTCCGGTCCCCACGCTGTCCGATCTGCCCGTTTTCCTACTGAGATTTCTCCTACTAATTAGCCCAGCAACCCTTAATGAGCCAACTGAGCACCCTGCACGACTGGAAGTGATCAGAGGAACAGCCCGAGCGCGGTGGCACCTCCTCACTACAGCCCATGGGAGCTGGAGGTCCCCATCCCCAGGTCCCTGTCCCCATTGCCGGGTCACTGCGGCTGCTGCCATGAAGGTGATGCTCTCCTGGGAGATGCAGGACCTCCCGACCTCTCTTTCCACACTGATTACTGGAAAGCAACTCAGCTCCACCGCTGGAGAGCTGGAGAGCAAGCAGAGTGAGGATGGAGACACTGGGAGCCTTTTGTAAGCCACAGGGAAGCACCAGCTTGGTCTGGTCCTGAAGATCATCTCAAGTTGCTGCCAAAGAGCCACAGGAAGCAAACAAAAGCTCAGGTGAAGAAACCGAGAGGGCTCGGGAGCCCCTGGGGTGTTCAAAGTGGGGAAGGAAGAGGAGAAACTGCTGCAAAATCAGCAACAAATCTGCTGCAAACCCAGTAACAAACTCCTCTTTTCTGCAAGGGGGAACCTACCTGTCCAAACCTGTAGTGTCCCACCTGTAGCATCTCCTCACTCTGCAAAGGCTCCCAGAAAGGTGACTGAAAACACAGAGATACGAATGTATGAGCTAAACCACTGCCCAAGGGGGATGGAGGGATGGCAGCCATTCCATGAGGAAACCCTGCAGGTGTCCCTGCCTGTCCTGGTACCCTGGTTCCCTCCAAACCCCATCAGCACCTCCTTTTCCCCAGGGACCACATGGAGGTCCTGCCCTCCCCACCGTCCAGTGCCTTCCAGCCGTTTGTCACTGCCTTGCAGGGGGTGGGTGGCAGGGAAAGGGCTGCTGCTGCCCCCCTGCCTGGTTCAGTCCCAAAGAGGCAGGAGCTGGATCCTGCCCTGCTAGGAAGCTCCCAGGGGCTGTGCTCCAGAGCCAGGCTCAGCGTTTACAGATTCCCAGAACAGTTTGAGGAATAAGGTGTAAATGACCAAAAAGAAAAGCAAGGTAAAGCCCCGGCAGCGGCGCTGGAGAAGGGATGCGGTGCCGCGTCTCTCGGCATCGCGTTGTCCCCTCCGCAGAGGGTCCTCCCTTTTCTCAGTGTCACCGCCACGAAACGGTCCAATTTCCTCTTGCTTTTGCATGTTGTAATTCACCTTTCGGGCATTGCTCAGCAG